GAAAGAAGGATGTGGATGGAACAGCCACGGCCAGGAGGAGCATCCTCTCCTGGGTGGCAGCACCTGGGCACATTGTCCCTCGCTGAGGGCAATGGAAACCTGATATAGATGGTGCAAATACTTCCCTGCTGTAACCATCCTCTTCCTCCTCCTCCTGCCCTGCCACACGCCCCGGGTAAAACACCTTGCTGCTGTCAGGTGGGAGAGCAAAGGTTTGCATCGTTCCTGGCTCCATGCGCCGTGCTTCTCCAAAACTGCCCCTCCAGAAGGCACCCAACTGATATTATTTAACGCGCCGTTAACCCAGCGCACATCTGGACGCTCGCCGGTGCTCCCAGAGCCAGCACCTCTCCCGCTACCAGCCCATGTTCCTCTCCCAGATGTCCCAAGCTCCATCCCTGGCTGCCCCTGGCTCAAGGGACTGCTCCAAAGAGACACCCCAAAAAATCAAGTTGTCATCTTCTGATATCTCCTCTGCTCCTCACCAGGCTCTGGGCATTGCTAAGGGATGGATCTGGGATTAATAATGCAATAGCCACATACTCAAACTCTGTGAGACCGTGTTGGAGGTGGCCTGGCCACAGCTGTTTGTCCCACGTGTCTTTTTTACAGTGGCCCGTGGTCACCAACACATGAGTTTTCTCTGCTCGTGGCAAGTGGAACTGGCTGGAGCAGGGGTCTGCCTGCGCAAGGCGATGGGATCCTCACCAACAGCAGAGCCATCCTGCATTGCCTGTGCTCTTCAGCGGAGCTGTCTCCCATTTAAAGACGAAAAAAGTGACCAGAGGTTGATAAAAGTATTTGCTAGAGGCTGCACAGAAAGCTGCTGTCAGACCGAGGACTCATTTTCAGGTCTCACATCCTCCCATGCCACCACCTCATTGACTCCTCTGCCGTTTCTCCCTCTCCTTAGAGCCCCACTAGGTATTTTTTTCCACCGTTGCCAATGTGGAGAAATGCATTTCAAAGTCCATTCCTCTGTCACACCCCTTCCAAGGAGCCCCGATCCCACTTAAAGTTTTCCACAGCTGAACTCTCTTTTTCCTGAAACTCCTTAATCACTTCTTCATCCAGTTCCATCTTGAATAAATTAACTGCAAGTGAATTTGCCTTGCGGGAGATTAAGTGTCCTATTGATTGAAAAATCCTGTGAAAAGTGTAGTTGCTTCTCCATTCCTCCCTAATCCTTGCATTCCCAGATCACTAGCTAGACATACCTTCCTTTCCTGATTTCTTTCCATTTAATCAAAATATCTTAAGGCTCAAAATGGGATTTGCAACCTCTCTGCAATGCTCCCAGGGATTCTGCTGTGCCGGGGAGGGGGGTTATTGCCTTAAAAAGTCAGGAATTTGCTGGATGCAAAAAGGCTGAGGGGTCTCTGGGGGACCTTTAGGATGGGATGTGGGATCATCATGGGTATGGGGCAAGGGGCTGAGCTACCTCCGGGCAAAGCTACTGGTTAATGCAGCCCTGGCAGGGGAAAGCGCAGGGAAAAGCCAACAGCACTTTCGAGGCAATAGGCAGAATTTTTAAATTTGTGCAATGGAGAATAATAAAGGAAGATAAAGAGGGACTAAAGGAGTGAAGCAGAACCAGACCCAGGACCGTCGGAGGTGGTTTGGTGGTGGTACACCCCGCTGGGAGGGGATGCTGGGGACGGGCACGTCCCCTCGCCTCGGCGCAGGAGCCTGGGGGCACATCCAAACGGTCGCGAATTTGTAAGCGCTGAACTCTGCGACAGATTTCCCAGGGAAACGCTGGCTTCTCCATCCCTTGATGCCTTCAAATCAGGGACGGATGTTTTTCCAGGAGATGTGCTCCAGCCAAACATAATTTACTGGGTTCAGTACCGAGATAACTGGCATGAATTAACGTCTATGACACAAGGAATTTCACCAGATAATGTTTTGACTAAGAGGCAAAAAGAATCCAACCAATAATTCAGTCAGTACCGAGCAGCTGTGACTCTAAGTGTTTTACACACTGAGGCACAGCCGCGTTTTGGTTTTATGTTGCCCTGTCATGCTAGAAGCGCCGCACGCGCCGCTCACGTGCACGTGGAGTGAAATCATTTAAAACCGTGCAAAAAAAACCTGCCGTTTGAGCTTGACGGGTCATTTCGCTGTTTGATGCGGGGCTTGCCCAGCCTGCAGCCACGGACACAGCCTGGCAGGACTCCGGGAAGCAGGACCCAGCACGGGTGATTTGCTGGCAAAGCAGAAATTAGGTTTCCACTCCCCTCGCTGCACAGGCAGAGCAGAGGCTCCTTGGGTATTTCCACCAACGGCCTGGTTTTCTTTTTTTTTGTGGTTGTTTTTTTTTCCCCAGGATGAAAGTTAAAAATATGTCCTCAGACATGTTGCTCTGAGCAGTCTGCGCTTTTCACATTTAATCCCACTGTTTTTTGTTTTCTTTAATTTTTTTTTTTTTTTTTTTGCTTTTGTTTTCCCCATAAGGAGCGCATGAAAAGGAAGGCGAGGGCGGGCTTGTTTGGTTCTTATTTTCTTTTAAAGCTTCATTTATTAGCCAAGCCGTGACGCAAGGGCCAGCCGCATCGCTCTTTGCAGAGGGCTTTGCTTGTTTTTCAGGGAGGGGGATTACAACCCTCCAGGGAGCACGAGGGGGGAGATTTGGGGTGACCCAAGGATGCGTGAGGGTGGGGAGAGCTGGGACGGAGCAGGGGATGTCTCCCTGCTGCGGCAGGATGCTCCAATTGGATTTGGGTGGTTTGGGTGATTTGGGATGGGACTTATTTTTTTTCTTTATTTTTAAGAAAAAACCCCAACCTTTAGAGGACAAGCTTACAAACCGAAAAGTAAAGGAAGAGGTTGGTGAGCAACCTGTGAGCTGGTGATCAGAGCAGCATCTCTGACAGCCAACTGGGGGGAGCACTTACAGCATCCCTGCAAACAGCTGGAAAAGCCTTTTCCCCAGCTGCCAAGTTTCCATGAGAATTTGACAGCTTCACCTAATTAATCACTTAAATTTAACCGAAAAGGGAAAACAATGCCATTGTCTTCGGGAGACAAAAATTCTGGTTGCATGATCTTTGCAACCCCTTTGCATTCATGGCAGCGTCCTTAAATATTTGAGCTTTCTCTGAGCAGCCAGCGCTGACACAGGGCCGGGGAATCAGGGGAACGGGTGGTTTGCCCTCATCATGGTCTCACATTTGAAAAAAAATGCTTCTGCCTAATAACCAGTGGTGCTCAGGAATATTTGCTAATGGGTGGTGTGATAATATTAAGACCTGAATATTAATTAATGGTAAAATCCCAGATAGGATTTCCTACTGGGGAGGGGGACACATCAAGATGGAGCTGCTCTGAGAAGCTCATGTTAAATCCCATTTATGTTAAATTCTTCTTTGGGAATTCAAATTTTTAAATGAGAACATCATCTTCTGAGGTGTCTCAACGTTTATTTCTTTTCATCTTCAAGGTCTTTTTCCCTCCCCCTCCCACGTTCCTTTACTACATTTCACATCTTCCACCTTCTCTCCCTCTCTGACCATGAGCAAATGAGCACCGATAGCGCGGCAGAGGGACACGAGCAAACTCCTTGTAGAGGTCAGGGAGAAGGTTCCAGACTTCCCTCATCTTCTGGGTGCTACTGAGGATGGCTCCGGATGGTTATTATTTCCCCCTAATTAATCTCCTCGTTAGCAATGAAGCTGTAAGACAGGAAGTATTTCCATGAGAATCCTCAAAAGCTGCTTAAATTTTGGAGCTTTTAATTGGGTGAGCAATTCTGTTTTATAGTGATGGAATAAAAGAATGAGTGTTTAGTGTCTTTGTAGAAGCAGCATTTTTTAAAAAAAAAACAATGATCATTTCTGGTCTAACAGGGAACATCTGTGCTGGGGACAGTCACTTAGCCAGCTGCTGGGTAGGGCGGTGCAGAACAAAAGAAGTCCTGTTTATCTGGTGATCCGGTCTCGGATGGTTGCATCCACAGATAGGATTTTGAAAGCGAAAAAAGGAACGGAGCAGATTTATTTTAGGCTAACACATCGGGAGCAGAAAACACCAATAACTCGTGGCTCGGAGTATTTTTGAACTAGCCTGGAAGGAATGGTCAAATTCCTCAGGTCCTGCTCTCCTCCTCCTTTGGTTTGCTGTTTTGTACTGTTCTGGTCCAGTCCATGTGAAAAGTGAGAAAAATGTTTGCAGTGTCCCAGATCCATCCGGACTAGTAGCCTGCAGCCTTGGTGGATGTATATGTTTTTATCAGCTCCTCTTATTTTAAAGAACAGAGAGATGCCCCATGTCCCCACCCGCCGCTGAGCTGGGGATCCTAACATACCGCTCCCGGCTGCCCATAAATGAGCAACTCCAGGTTGGAGCAAAACTCCTGGAAATTCACTTTTTCAGTTTTTCAGTGGGGAAAATTCCTTGTGGATCCCGGCGTGAGTTGCCATCACTTCTCTGCCAGCTCTTTGCTATCCCGTTGGGTATCGCTAGGCGGGACCCCTTCCTACACATCCGTGTCCTGAAGACGATCCTGGCATGACGAGGTTCCTACCTGAAGCAGGGGTGAGAGGGGACACCTCCGTCCCCCCCTCCCCGGGACCTCGGATGGATGCTGAAGGTCTCGGTGCCGGCACCAGCCGTGAGCCCAGGTGGTGGTGGGGGGGGGGTGTCCCCCACTTCTCCCCATGCTGACGGATGGTTTTGCAGACCTTGCCCGCTGCCGGACATTTTTTCGCCCCCGTTGCATCTGCTGGGCATTATTTCCAAGCAGCAGTGAATCATCGTCCCCATCTTATTGCTGCCTGCTGTTGTGGGAAGGGGAAGGAGAAATTTCATGCTTGCATCAAGTCAGGGTGGGGGAACAACGGTGTCCTCCCAGCACGGGACCCTCTCCTGACACCTCCTGAACCACGAGCTGGGGATTTGGGCTGGGGGGTCCTTTCTCCTGGGGGGTTCCCCTCCGGCGGTGGCTGTGGGTTTGTTCCCACGCTCCCGTCTGGGCACTGACGGACCCCTCTTTCCCACAGGCTGGTGGTGGGAGCTCCCTACGAAACCAACGGCCAGCAGAAGACGGGAGATGTCTACAAATGCCCAGTGACCAGCGACACCCACAGCAACTGCACCAAACTCAACCTAGGTACCGCACACCCACGGGGCAACGAGGGGGACTGGGGAGTTTTAACACGGGGGGTTTTGTCATGGCTTGGGTCTGTAAAAACGCATCCTGTCGAGTTGGCCACATTGTCCTCAAAAGCATGAGGAATTATTTCAGGTGTTCACGTTCATCCTGGTGCTGAGCTCTGAGCAACATTGGGGTAAAATCAAGCAAATTGGAATAAAGTCAAAAAGTTATTTATTTACGATAGCTTAAACTGGTTTATTAAATGATCAGGATGAACTTCTCAATGGGTAACGGTGCCACTGACTGCACGTGGTGGTGTCTCATTCCCTCTCTGGAGGCTGCTCGGATGACGTGCCCGCTGCAGTGCGTTCCCTGGGTGCAAGCAGATTTTGCTCCCAGCACCCAGCCTGCCCCCGCAGCTTTGCTTTTTGGGGAATTATCACCCAACCCCACCACCCTCCAGCCCCGTGGCTGCTGACACAGGAGGAGGGACCCCAGGGGTGCTCTGGTCCCGCAGGCATCCCAATCCCATCTCCCTGGATGGAGAGAGAGAGCTCTATCTTGGGGTTTCTTGGGCTGGTCCAGCATCAACCATGCCGACAGCAGAATATCGCGATATCGGGACATGCCCTCCCCGGGTGGGGGCAGTGCGAGGCACGGGGGGGACAAGTTCTCTTTGCTGCCCAAAGTGGGACACCTGAGGGGCACGTCCCTGTCTCGGTGGGAAACGTAAGAGCCGGGGACTTTCTCATGGTCCTGAGGAGCATCGCCGGGGTTTGGGGGCAAGGTCTGGGATTTTTTTACCACTGGAGCATCTGTTCTCACTTTATTTTTCATCATTATGAATATGAACTATCCTGGGTTTCTACAGAGCTGATAAGATAGGATGAACTTTGGATCATCTGCAATATTTGATTGATTGGCTCCAAATATATTATTTTTTTAAACATTGCTTGCTTTTTTTTCCATTTTGTTGTTTTTTTCCTTTTATTTGCTCTGAGAACATTGAGATTCTTCAAGGAAATAAATCTCTTGTGTGTGTAAATTTGAATCTTGCTAAAAAGCAATCTTTTTCCCATTGGAAACGAGCTTCCAATGAAAAGATCAGTTCCATGAGCACATCCTTTTTTTTTTTTTTTTTTTTTTTTTTTTTTTTCACCCCCCCAAACTAACTTGCCTAGTTAGCACAGTCCGCTGAGGCCATTTGAGTAAAACCAGACGTGGAGCTGCCCTGGGGAGAGGCCGGGCTGACAGCAGCAGGGATGACCGTAGCGTTGAGAAGCACGAGCTGACGTGGGACCGGGGGTCCGTGCCCAGGGGCAGAGGGGGCAAGAGCTGGCGGGGAGCATCCCGCTCCCCACCGCCAAGCTGCCGGCACAAGGCGGAGCGTACCCGGGTACCAGAGCAGGGCAGTGGGGTGTCAGCACCCACGGTCAGGGTCCTGGAGGATTTATAATGTTGGGCTAAAGCCCTTTTTCCTCTGGCTTTGCTGCGGCGTGCGTGGGGACAACGGGGTGAAGCAAGCTCGGGGTGCAGGGGTGACACCTAGGGATGAAGCGAAGGGTTGGTAGAAACTGCTCAGCTTTGGGCTCCGGGTGGTGGATTTTGGTTTCTGAGCCTCCCCTCAATTTAAATCTCAGCAAGAAGGTCCCTGGAAGCCCCCCCTTCCCTCCCTGGAAGGGTTCAAGGCCGGGTTGGACGGGGCTGGAAGCACCCTGGGCTGGGGGAAGGGGGCCCTGCCCGGGGCAGGGGGGGGCACTGGGTGATCTTTAAGATCCCTTCCAACCCAAACTGAGTCTATGATTCTATGAAGAAACTTCCAAAGGCCACAGGCAATGAAACCAGCCCCCCAATTTTACCATGAATTGCCCAATTTCCTCCTTCTTAGGTTGCTTCTCAGGCAAAACAGCAAAGGGGGAGCCCTGGGTCGCAGGGAGCTGCATTGACCCCCCGAAGCGGAGCAATGGCTGGGCCAGGCAGCGTTTGAGTCACAGCTAAATGATATTGGTGTTAACAGAAAAAGAGGGCCGTCCTGGGGGCTGTTCCCAGTTTCCGGGCTGTGATATGGGAAAGAAAAAACAATGCACAAGGATAAATCAGCCACTAAACGCTCGCTGGCCCAGCAATAAAACATGAGGTGCTAGAGCCGCTCAGAGGGGTTTCTTCCTAAAGGTTGACTATGTCAGAGGCAGCATCTCTGACTCACAGCTTCACTCCTTCGAAGGCTTTTCTCTCTCTTGGTTGCGGCATCTAAAAAAAACCAAAAAACCAAAAAAACAAAAAAACAGAAAAACGAAAAAACACCAATTCTTGACAGCTGTTTCCAAAAAAAAAGCAAAAGCACAAAGTCTGAAGTATAAGCGGGCAGAGCCAGGTCTCCTCCAGCCTTCAGCCGGGTTCGCTCTTGCTCCGGAGATGCCGGGGAGCACCACGGGGCCGTGGGCTGGGTGCCCGGCCGCTGTCCCTAACCCCATCCTCTCTCCGAAGGACGAGTAACGCTCTCCAACGTCTCCGAGCGGAAGGACAACATGCGCCTCGGCCTCAGCCTGGCTACCAACCCCAAGGACAACAGCTTTCTGGTGAGGAACTGGGGGCTCCGGCACAGCCTGGCCTCCCTGCACTGGGGTTGGGGGGGGGGGGGGGGGTGTTGCTCCACGGGGTGCACGCGCAGCAGCGTGCAAAGGCATGCAAAACCAGATGCATGTACATCAGCACGTAAAGGGACGCAAATACTCCCCTCTGTGTACAGGCTGCGTGCACCGCGGGGCTCAGAAACCTCCCCGTGCATGGGGGGAAAAAAGACACCAAAGGAGAGGACAGCCTTGCAAAGCAGCAATTAAAAAGTGGTAATTTTAAACCCATCCCCGACGCTTGATTTTTTTCCACCCCCCCCCATCCCCCACAGGCCTGCAGCCCTCTCTGGTCCCACGAGTGCGGGAGCTCCTACTACACCACGGGCATGTGCTCCCGGGTCAACTCCAACTTCAGGTTCTCCAAGACAGTGGCTCCGGCTCTGCAAAGTACGAGAAACAACCCGCCCCGCGGCCCTAACCCTACTTTTGAAGTCAGAGGGAATTTCTATTCTCTAATCGCTTCAGTCCCATTGAGAAAACAAAGAGATGTCAGTGTTTAAGCGAAGGCAAGAGAGCAGAGGAAACGGTTGCAGGGAAGTGATTCAAAGGGGGTTACGTACACAGACATCTGGTAAACATTTTCCTTTTGACTGACACCCAGGGAAGACAAAAAATACCTTATTCTTCCAAAACCAGAAATAAAAGTATCCAGAATATTTTATCAGCACAGCTAGGAAGGCAAAATAGGGAAAGAATTCAGACCTTGGCCACACAAAACAAAGCACTCATTGACTGAAAGCTAAATATCTTGGCCCAAATTTGTAGATTTGGATACGTGATTTTATTCTGAGGTATTAAATAAGCTTCCTGGCTTTCCTGTAGGTGGTAAGAAATTGCAGAAGCCTGTCCTGCACCATCAGGAGTCCCAGAAGCTCCTTTCCCCAACGGGGCACGGGGTGCGATGCCCCAGCTCTGTCACCCATTTGGTGTCAATTAATTGTCACGGCGTAGAGCAGAGCACAGGAAAATGGGACTTTCAGGGGGAAGAGGCAGTAAAAACAGGGCCCACCATCAAATTCTCAGTGTCACTTCCCTCTTTCTGGCCAGAAGATGCTTTTAGCCCTCGCTGCAAAAGGTAATTGAGTTTTTTTCAGAGGGAAGGTGGTGAACGAGCAGAGCGTTGCCATTTAGTGAGTGGGATCTAGAGGGTCAGCTCCTCGTCCAGGTCCCCGGGGTGAGCAGGGGATCGAGACGGTGTCACAGAACTGAGGACCACAGTGACGGAGTGACCCGGGTGTGACTCCAGTCCATGGACACGCTAACCCATAAACACCCACAGCAGGTGAAAAGGGCCGCCGATAAATATCCGTCACTGGAAAATTCAACATCATCTGGTCTTCTGCAGCTTTTCTAAATAACGTTTTAAACCATAAGCAAGGTAGAGAGCTGACACTGAGCAATTTTCCCCGCTGAAAGCCAGTCAGCTGCCTAAATCCTTCGCGGCTCGTACTGCTGGGCTGAGCCCTGGGGTCCTCGCGGGGGTTTTTGGCTGCCTCGTCGCTGAGGATTTAATGGGAAGGGGAGGAAATACCCGTCTTGCGTTATATGGCGAGTACAGGCAGGGCTGAGGAGTGACTCAGGGGTAAAGCATTGCTCTGCAGGAGGAACAGAGGCCGGATCCTGCCTGCAGCAGGCCGCTCTTTGAAGTATGCAACTATATTAGACCGGATAAAGGTCCAAATCTGAATCAGAAAAGATACCGCCGAGTGTTTTTCTTAGAAAGTTATCCGGTCTTTTCTCGGCAGAGAGGATGCTTGTGGCTTCTCTCTACCTTATTGAAGCCCAAAGGTCTTTATGAATGATTGAAATAAGATTTTTTTTTTTTTTTTTTTTCAAACAAATCACTAGAGCAAGTACCCGACTGCGAGGAATGAAGCCATAAATCTCCCCTTTGCAAGAGCTGCCAAGGTCTTTCAATAACACACTGCGTATTTTTCACAGGATGCCAGACGTACATGGACATAATCATAGTTCTGGATGGATCAAACAGCATATATCCTTGGGTTGAAGTTCAGCACTTCCTGATAAACATCTTGAAAAAATTTTATATTGGCCCCGGCCAGATACAAGTAAGCCCCTGCAAAACTTGTGCGTCCCCCCGTGTCACACAGAGTCCCCTGGCCGTGCCCAGGAGCCCTTTTCAATGTCCCTTTTCTGCCAAGATGCTGTAATTTGGCACCACGCTTTTTCAGAATAAACTTTCAATGTATGGATTTTAGAGCTGAGCCCGTGGAAATAATGCTCACAGGAATGCCCCTAAATGAGCTACGGAGAGAGCAGCACCCACGTCCTGGCCAGGCATGGGGAGGATGAAATCATGTGGAAATACAGAAGAATTGCCCTGTGCTGAGGCATCTTGTTGCAGCTGTGAAGAACTCTCCAGCCTCTTCCTATTAGTAATCATGGGCTGACTGGGGCGGGGATTTATGCAGGGATATCCTCAACAATTTGCACAACAACCTGGAGTTGCTGTGGGTCCACACTGGGGCACAACATGTCTGCATCACCCCAAACCTTTATAGCAGGGCAGGGGTGAAAATAGAAATAAACCCAGCCCTTTTCAGTGGTCCCATAGAGGGAGAACTGGTGCAAATGGGGACAGAGCGATTGATTTTTTTTTTGTTAAGGGCAGCTGTTACTCTGTGTGGTTGACAAAGCGTGCTTGTTGTGTTGCAGGCCCTCGCTGCGCAGCGGGTGGTTGGCATCCTTTGTGAATATTCCTTTAATCCCTAGGTCGGAGTTGTTCAGTACGGAGAGGATGTCGTCCATGAGTTTCATTTAAATGACTACAGGTCTGTAAAAGATGTGGTAGCGGCTGCCAGTCACATAGAGCAAAGAGGAGGTACAGAAACCAGGACTGCCTATGGGATAGAGTTTGCTCGGTAAAAATCATTCACCTTCCTGTTCCTCTTCATAACAAGTTTCAAACCACCCCTTGTTTTTCTTCCCTCTCTCCCCCTCTGCTTTTCCTTGCTGCTTGGAGAGCGGGGGATACTTCCAGGCTAAAAATGCTTTTGCAAAACTGCTCGGTCTTTAAGTGATGCTTTACAAACGATGCTTTGCAAAACTGCTCCGTCCTTGGTTGCAGCTGGACCAGACTGAGGGTGCAGAGGCAGGCTCTGAAAATGTATCTTCTTCCTAAAGCACCCAGAGCTGAATTCTCAGCCCCTAAATGTGACCCCATGTCTGCCCCAGGCACCGTAGCCCTTCTGCAGATCCCCTTCAGGTACCCGGGAGCTCGGTACAGCCACAACCCACAGCCCCAGCTCCTCATTACCCGGGAGCAGCGGCGCCTTTTTATCCACAGCCCGACCGGTATTCCCGTTGCACATTTAGGGCATTTTGCTGAATTAAAGTCTCCTCTCCTGCAAGAAGCCAGCTCCATCGGTGGAAAATAAAACCCCCTTTTAAAGTCCTGAAATGTTTCCTGGGGGTCCTGCACCCGGTCGCAGCCCTCCCAAGGGCCAGCAGCCCACCAAACCCCGCTGGGCGCTGTAGGATGCGGGCGACGGGGCGCGCGTCTTGGCAGCCGCGGCGGTTTCGGCGAGGCTGAGCAGCCCAGGGCATCTCTTCAATTGCAGCTCGGAAGCGTTTCAGAAAGGTGGCCGGAAAGGGGCAAAGAGAGTAATGATTGTAATCACAGATGGAGAGTCGCACGACAGCCCAGACCTGGAGAAGGTGATCGAGGACAGCGAGAAGGACAACGTCACCAGATACGCGGTGGCGGTAAGTTGAGGGGAACAGCAGCACACACGACACCCTTTTGGGTGCAAAAGCCCTGCCAGAGCTCGGCGGTGCTCTGTGCACCCCGAAGCAATGGGGCTGGCAGTGCAGCCCACCTCCCACCTTCCCGGCGCCTTTGCAGGGATCCTTGTTGCTGGCCCTGCTTTTGCAGGAGGCGGCGGGGTGCTCGGATCTGGGATTTGGCTGCTGGGGCAGGCGCGGTAGCTGGGGACAGGCAGGACCCTCTGTTATACTGGGCACCCTTCATGAAATTTGGGTGCCCAGCCTGAGCTGCCTGGAGGAATTACAGCAGCTCCTTGCTCCTCGGTTTGTTCCCACGCTGGGGTGTCAGATGCCAAGGCTGTTGGGCTCCTTCCACGTGGAAACCCCTCAGGTGCTTTGGGACAGCTCTATCCACCCCTTGAAAACCCCCGAGTCTTACATTTCTATTTCAAACCTAGGTATTGGGTTATTATAACAGAAGAGGAATCAATCCCGAAGCCTTTTTGAACGAGATAAAATTTATAGCGAGCGACCCGGATGACAAGCATTTTTTTAATGTCACAGATGAAGCAGCACTCAAAGACATTGTGGATGCACTGGGGGAAAGGATATTTAGCTTGGAAGGTGAGTGATGCTCCTTCCTGACACGTCCCAGCCGGCCAGGCTGCAGCAGGTTGTGCCAGACATGCTGTCAGTCCTCAATTTGCTGCATTTGAACAGGCCACGCCGGGCTTTCCCTGATATCTGTTTGATACAGCACCCAAAACCACACTTTGAATATCTTCATGTATAAAGAAATGTCTTTATTTAGAGCGCTCTGCATCCCTCGAGCATCAGGAGCACAGATCCCCTCTCCTCCACAGGACACCCCTCGTTCTGGCCGCCGGTATTTGCAGAGCTGTAGTGCCTCTGGCATTTATAGCAAAGCTTTGAAATTTGGTGTGGGGGTAAATGGGTGTCAGCATCTTTCTCATCCATCAAACTCCATTCAAACCCATCTGGGTCATAAACAGGCAAAACCCGACTGCCAGGGACTCCCTGGGGTGGCAGACATTGCAGGGTTGTGGGAATAATGTGGGATTTTATGATTTATTGGCTGAAAGCAAATATCAGGAAATATTTTTGTTCTAAATGACAGCTCTTCTATCCGCCTTGTGACAAGCTTGTTGGTCGCCAAAACTAAATTTATCTACATTTCATAGGAAAAGAGCATCCTGGGACGAACAATTGAAACAGAAGATGGAGGGCTTTCACTGAAAATTGAATATCTCGGGGATTGGGGGAATTTTGGCCAAACAGGCTCACAAACTCCCCACCAGTTTGGCAGTTACCTTGGTCGAGCCAACCCAACACTTCTCTGCGGAAGGAAGCTTCACCCAGTCGCGGTTATGAAGCAAAATCCTCTAAAGCCACATTTTTGCGTGATCTCACAGCTAGGAAAGGAGAGAACCACACCACAGCAGAGCTCCCACTACCTGTTATCAGCACGAGTTTGTGTAATTGTGGTGATTTAGGGAGAAACGAGCTCGTTTCTGGCAACTGTGGTCCTTTGGGTTCCAGGGGATTAGAGGTGGACGCTCATCCCACCCCAACGCACCAAGACACTGCTCAGCCCCTCCAGGAAAGCAAAGCTCTCCATTAAATACAAATTCCCTTTTTCCCATTTATTTATTTATTTATTTATTTATTTATTTATTTAGGAACCAACAAGAATGAAATCTCCTTTGGACTGGAAATGTCCCAGACTGGATTTTCATCGCATGTTGTGGAAGTAAGAGAGAAAACGTGGGTTTTTTTTTTTTTTTGCTCCTGCCTGTGCAAGCAGGAACCCCGTGGTTTTTTGTTTTGTTTGTTTGGTTGTTTTTTTTATCATCACCAGCAGCTGCCGGTGGGGAGATGAGTATTTTGGGCAAGTTATTAATTGTGAAACTAAATCGCTAACATTAGCACGAGGAAGAAAATGCTGTTGCTGCTGGTTTATCCCCTGGGGAAGGGAGCTGCTGGGAGACCCGTGTCTTATTTCAGACCAGCCTGCAGCAGCTCCTCCTGGTGCCACGACCTCTCGGGAAAGACGTGCTGGGATGTGCCGTGGAGGAGGGTGCCTGTGGGTGCCGGGGTGCAGGGGACATCCAGCCCCCTTCCACCCACAGGCTCTGCGGGCTGGCAGATCCGAGCGAGAAGCCAGCAGGCATTTCTGCTCGGGGTTTTCCTGGGGAGGAAAAGCATGCTGGAAAGAGATGGATGGGGTGGAAATGTCATTCCAGCATGTTTAAAAATCTCCATCTTTCCAGGTGTGCTTTGGAGAATGGTTTGCTTGATTTTTTTTTTTTTTTTTTTTTCTTTTTTTCTTCCTTCCCCCTTTCTGAGATTCCCCACCTTTTCAGTAAAATGTGTGATTTCTGGGAGGGACCGTTTGCTGGTTTTCTCTTTTGTACTCTGAAGCCTTCAATAAGTATATAGGCAAAGAGTTGGGCTTTTAGGGACCCCCATATGTGTTCTCACACAAAACCAACCCATCGAGTCCCTTCATCCATCTCAGAGTGAATCGGCTTTACCCATGTGGGTAGTGAGGGGGGAGAATTGTCTCCATTTGGCAAGAAATACCCTCAAACTACTCCTGCTCTCCCACAGGACGGGATCTTGCTGGGGGCAGTGGGTGCCTACGACTGGAACGGAGCCGTCCTGAAGGAAACCAGCAGCGGGAAGGTCATTCCTCTGCGGGAATCTTATCTCCAAGAGTTCCCAGAGGAGCTGAAAAATCACGGAGCGTATTTAGGTGAGAAAGCTGAATGAGGCTCTGCTGCCAGGGCTGGATTCATGATTTTACGCTTAATAATAGGAAGCAGAACATATTTCTTAAATGACTAATAGCAGCCAGTGCTCCCAGCAGAGGCGGTGCCGTGCCCGGCTGCTCGTGAGCTCCCGTCGGTGCGAGACCTGTGTTGCCCGTTTGCTCAGGGATGCGGCGTACGTGAGCATCCCTCACCTGGGAAGAGTCCAGTGTCAATCCACGGTGTGCGGCGCAAAAGTGATTTAAATGCAGAAATATTTCAGGCACCAGCCAGCCCGAGTCATCTACAGCGCTTACTGGAATGGTTTAAATAGCAGTGATGAAATTTCATGCCTAGGGAGGAAATACCTGCTGGGTTAATCCGTTCCATGTGCGGCTGTCGAAGCTCCGGAGTAAAAATATCAGCCTGGTTTGCAAAGTGAAGCCTCTCTCTGGAGATGTGGGTGCCAGGCTGAGCTGCCCCGTGGCGGGGAGCGGGGTGGGATGCTGCGGGGTCGCCCGCCGGCGTGTTGGGGCTCTTCCCTTGGTTGGGGACATGAACAGCCCCTGGACACGTGGGTCATCTCTTGGGGTGACAGCAGAGGGTCTCCGGGCTCAGCTGTGAGCGGCTGGAGCAGGGACGGCTGAGGTTGTGCAAGGGGTGCCCAGGGCAGTATGTGGGAGCTCGGCTGGGCTCTGGCTTTCCCATTGCCTGGAGTAAGAAATTCAGAAATATTAAGGAAACGCTGGTGCATCCTGCGGTGGAGCAGCCCACCTCACCCAGCGCCAGCACCTGGGGGTCTCAAGGCTGATGTTTGGTTTAGGAATATCCCCCCCAGGAGGGGAATATTTAGGAAAACAGAGATCCCAGGTAGGGCCAATGCCCAGGGAAAGGGGTCCATAAACCCTGATAATCCCTGGAAATACTCAAAATTCAACTGGATGAGACCCCAAGTGATCCAATCCAGCTTTATAGTTGTCCATGCTTTGGATTTCTAATAATTTAAGTAGCATTTAAAACTGATTGTGAACATGCAGAAACCTGGAGCTGGGTTTGAAAAATAGGATTTTTGCAGCCCCAGCATTATATTCCTACATAAACCCATCTGCAACCACAGGCAAGCACTGCACCGATGTGTGGTGTCAGTGATCCCAGCACAGAAAATAACCCATCTGGGTAGGAAAAAGGGATTTCTCAGGGCCGTTGGCTTACGCAGGGTTATTTCCATAGGGACTCGCGAGTCTTGATGGATTCACGGCTTTTCTCGGGCTGGGGATTTTCACACTGAGCATCAGCAAAGCCCTTCGCGCTTGGTTTCGGGCACGGTGTTGCCGAGGTCTCGAAGGAGCAGCGGCGTGCACACACCTTGCTAGCCTTCGTTTAATTTGATGTGAGCCGTGAAGCAAAACACTCATCAAGCTGGGAATTGCACTCACCTTCGACGAAAGAAGGGTTTTGCGTGGGGTTTGTGCCAAAACTCTTGGCACAGCTGTGCTGCTCGGGGTGTAAGGCAGGACTAGAGCAGGCAGCTCAAAGCCCAGGGTCAGGGCGCTGGGGTTTATTTGAATTAGTTTATCTTTGAAGAAATCTGGGTTTCTCGCTTCCCGATCTGGGAGGTGGCCAGAGCTGTGTCAGCAGCTGGGGGCTAATGGAAAGCAGATCATTTGGGAGCAGGCAGGGAGCTGCTCGGCTGTGCTCACCCCCCCTGCCCTGACCCCCCCCCTTTTCCAGGCTACACCGTCTCCTCCGTCATTTCCACCAAGCACGAGCGGATTTACGTCGCGGGAGCACCCAGGTTCAACCATACGGGGAAAGTCATCATTTTCAGCATGCACAACAACCGAAACCTCACCATCCACCAGGCGCTGAAGGGCGAGCAGGTAACGCCAAGGATGCCGTGCTGTTTTTTGCCATGTGGCGTGCGTGCTCCTCCGTCGGTCCGTCCCCCTTCATTTGGCAGATTGCTCTGTTTAAACGGCTCGGCGGCGGAGCACGTCCATGGGCAGCTGGGGATGCCCTGGCTGTCGCTGCATCCGCAGCTCCAAACTGCGTGGCTGCAGCCAGGACAGGGCTTGAAATGTCCCCGCCGGGGAGGGTGGCAGTGTCCCTGCACGCCGGGAGCATTGCTCCCATCCATCCCCCCTCCTCTGTCTCCCCCAGATCGGCTCCTACTACGGCAGCGAGATCAACTCCCTCGACGTCAACGGCGACGGCGTCACCGACGTGTTGCTGGTGGGAGCCCCCATGTACTTCAGCGAGGGCAGGGAGAGGGGGAAGGTCTATGTCTACGCCCTGCGGGAGGTACGTGGCAGGGGCCAGGGAATTTGGGTGCTAGCACGGGATCTGTGTCCCCGCGTCACCTCCCCGGGGTGGCTCTGAGCTTGAGTTCACCCACCAGCTTCCAGCAAACGAGGTCCAAAGGCAACAGAGCTTGGCAGCGCCTTGCTGCTGAGGCTGCTGCGAGACTGGAGGAGGATTTCTCTGATTTTCTTGTTTATAAACAATCTCGGGGGGGTTGCTCGCTGCCAGCGAAGGGAGTCCAGCCTGCACTGGAGCAGAGCCACCTCCTCTTGAGGCTTCGCTGCTCCCGGCCAGGCGAGCTTTTCAGCCCCGAGGAGGCGATGCCCGGGGTGTAAGGTGGGGTCTTTGCAACATGGGTGTCCCTCCAGAGAAACAGTTCCCCTCCGCTTTGCCTCCCCCAAAACCATTCCCTCTAAGGGCACCCTCCTGCCTGGAGGCTGGGTCAGGCATGGGGGTTGTGGGGGGCAGCAAATGTCGGTCACCCCATCGTTGTTTCAGGGCACAGATGGGACATGTGCCACCACTGTCCCCTTCCCCGGTGCCCAGCAGCGCTCTGGGGCAGGACCAGCTTTCCTGCCACCTCAAATCTGGCTCGAAATGCAGTTTCTGAGCCAAATCCATCAGGCTCTGGGGGCATGTGGGGCAGCGAGTGGGTCATGCTTTATAGCCAAAGCTGCAGAGCCTGCCCAAAGCAGCGGGAGTCCCCAGATCTAAAGCACAAGTTTTTATGAAATTATTTACGTAGGGTGCTATAGAAGGAAGGTAAAGCAGGCATGGGGCTGGTGCCGGGCTCATCCCTTCCCAAGGAACCCCCCAGGAGGGCTCCCACCCCCTTCCTTCGAGAAACTGCTCACGCATGAGCGTGCATTGTTTGCTTGCCTTTGGGGGGATTTCTCCTCTTGCCAGGCCTGCTGCTGATGGGTTTGGGGCGATATTTTTTTTTGCCTTTTCTCTTTGGCTGGCCCAGCAGAACCGCTTCGTTTCCAGCGGTGCCCTCGTCGATCTGCAGAGCTACCAGAACTCCCGCTTCGGCTCCTGCATCGCCGCTGTGCCCGACCTCAACCAGGACTCCTACAACGACCTTGTCGTTGGGGCACCTCTGGAGGACGAGCACCAAGGAGCGATATACATCTTCCTCGGCTTTGAAGAGACCATCCTGAAGAAGTACAAGCAGGTACAGCTCCTGGGTGCTTCAGTTGTCCTTGTCCTTCATCAGAATAAATGTCCTTTGTGCCCATTTTAAGGACTGATAGAGCACAATAAATCCACAGGCGGTTTTGCATTGTTAATTATTATTGCTGGATATTTTCTCTTGTGAGGGGTCAGAGATAAAGCAAATGTAGAGTATATGGAAAACGTGCTTGAAATTAGGGGCAATGCTTAGCACTCAATGCGATGGATTACTATAGATAAAATATTTCTCATGTTGGTGAGGAACACTGAAAATGCAGAGTAAATTCAGCAGAAATCTCTGGATGGTGTCTCCAAAGAGAAACTGTTCTCATCCCCTGGACGTTTGGTGCAATTGCTTGGAAAGGGGCATCTTCAGTAGCTTGGTGGAGGTCAGCGTGGCAAACCCTCCTGCACAGGCAGGGATGCTCCTGCTGGAACCCAGCCTGGATTCTCCCTTTTGTTTTTCAGCGGATAGCGGCTGCAGACCTTGCGCCGGGCTTGATGTATTTTGGATGCAGCATCCACGGACAACTGGACCTGAACGAGGACGGGCTCGTAGACTTGGCTGTCGGCTCTCTGGGCAACGCCGTGCTGCTGTGGTTAGCTGTATCTCATTTGGCACTCTCCTCTGCCCGAAGCTCATTGCAAAATGCTGACATTTTTTCAGGGGAAAACTGATCTCCCAAAAATCTGACGCATCTTTCCACAAAAACGATCCCCCCTGTCTGGTGGGCCTGTGGGATTTCAATGCCCTTGGGCCCTAGAAGGATGTCAGAGTTGGTTTTGCATTGAATTTCATTAGTTTCCCAGGAGTTTCAAACCAGTTGATTGATTTGTAGTGATTTTCCCAGGCTCCCTCTGTTCTTATTTAATAAGAACAATTTCATCTTTTCAAATATTGATTAATGTTTGAAAAGTCCTTTGGAGCTGTTAGGACGGAGGGTAGCTGTGCCCAGCAGAGATGAGCCACCCTGGGGTCCGCCTTGGAAAGTGCGATGTGCACACAAGGGGTCAAATCCTGCTCTGGGTGCTGAGTTACTTCACTAGCATAAGCAGGAGGCAAATTTGTGCAATAAATTTTATTCTTCAAATGCTACACAGATGAGCTGACAGTAGAGCAGCATGCTGTGGTGGCTTTTGGTCTTCCTCAGCACCTTCTTGATGTTGAGAAAACGGACGAAGAGGTGTGCAAAGGGTGAATGTGGAGTTGTGGGAGACTTTTGGAGGGTGCTGCGGAGGTGTGCGGCCACCCCATGCCACAGCACGTCTTGAGACCCTTGCTCGCCCCGCAGGTCCCGCAGCGTGGTCCAGATCAACGCCAGCATCCGCTTCGAGCCCTCCAAAATCAACATCTTCACCAAGGACTGCAAGCGGAACGGGAAGGATGCCACCTGCATGTCGGCCTTCATCTGCTTCACCGCCGTCTTCCTCTCGGCTCACTTCCAGACGGCCAGCGTGGGTAAGTGAAAAAAAAAAAAAACCCAATTCACGAGTTGTTTAGGTCTCCAGCCCCACAGGAGCACCCGGCTTCTGCCAAGGGAAACCATCCAGGAGTTTGGCATGTCTGGAGGCGTGCGCAATGCCGCCCGCCACGTCCCTTTTCACCCATAAATTTGTCCCTATCCCGGCTGATGCGCTACCATTAAGCGCCACCAAGAAACACCCCGAAGATACAACCTTGCTTGTGTTTAACCTCTTCTCTCACCTACACCCCGTGGCCAAGCTCTCCCGCAGCTCCTCTTGCCGCAGTACGTGTGACGGGGCTGTCACCACGACGGGAGAGGACGTGCCCGGACCGTGTCCTGCAGAACTCATCCATCCTCCCCGCTGCAGCGGCAGGACACATCTGCCGACCATATGTGCATGTTTCCCTAATATCCCGGGGAAGCTCTGTGAAGTTACTGGCCAGCTCTGCTATTAAACCCTCGCCCATTGCTGTGACCCCGAGTCTTCCCGGCAGATGCCCGTGACTCAGCTGGAGCCGGGGGAAGCGGTGGTGGCTCAGCCCCCTGCAACCCGGCAGCAAACACTGTCACAGGAAAATCAGGTCTTGAGCAAAGCCAAAGGGAAAATCTCCCATCCCTTAGAGCAAGAATCCTGATTTGTACTTCCAAACTCAGTGTTTTCCTCCTTCCTGCTACGACTGTGGAGCTTGCGGGACAAAAAGCTGGGTGGGGTTTTCTTTCTTTATTTAGTTTTACACTTATTTCTACCCAGAAGAGCCAGCCCATGGACGATGTGTGCGGTGGGGGGGCTGATGGTTGCTCTTTGCTTCTGCACATTTTGCATCGCACTGGTGCAGTGGGTGCAAATCCCCCCCTGCTTGGCGCTGGCTTGGGGACCTTCGGCTTCTTTTTGACAGCCCTGCTTGAAGCAAACGATCTCCAGTAAAGCACCTAGGAGAGGAGAGTGCTCCAGGGTACAGTACCTCCAGAACTGGTACAGGCCAGCACGAGAATATATGAGGCGAATAATTATATATCCTGCACAGATTTTACAATGTCTTGTAATAATGAATTTTTGGAGTTCCTCATTTGACCTGGAGAGCAGAAGCTTTGCCCAAAAGAAATGTCTGTTAGAAACAGGCAGCGCTAACTATAACTTGATTTTCCCTATTTTTCACCTTAGCGTGCTCCCTGGCATGCCCCTTCCAGTGGGAAAATAGGGCCCAAAAGCCCATTTTTGACCTGGTGTTGCTATATAGGGAGTGTAACCCCGGGAGGGGGAAGCCCTGACGGTGCTGCTCTCCCTCCAGCGCTGCGGTATGATGCCACCATCGACGAGCGCAGGTACACGCCGCGGGCTCACCTGGACGAGAGCGGAGAGAGGCACACGCAGAAGGGGCTGGTGCTGCTCGCCGGGCAGGAGCACTGCGACCGGCTCCAGTTCCACGTCTTGGTGAGTGGGAAGGAGGAGAAGGTTGGGGTCTTCCTCCTCTGCCACCCGCCCTGGGAGGGGAGCCAGCAGCCCCCCGAGCAAAGATGCTCTCCACCTTGCACAAAACAGCGACGAGCCGGGGACGGGGTTGGAGGAGCCTCGATGGGCTTCATGGGGCTGGAAATGAGCTTCGTCCCCGTGCCTGGACTTCTCCGTGCTGGGTTTGATGTGGTCAGGGATGGAGCTGCTGGGTCCCTGAGCACTGACTTCATTGCAGCCCCAACTTGCCCTCTGCTCCTTTCCACGAGCCATGCCCCAGGGGAGGCCCCAGTCAGGCCGGTCCTCCTGCTCCAAAATCAGTGAAAACTCATTTTTTTTTTTCCATTGGGAACCAAATTCTTCCATGCCAGTCCCTAGTGCTCTCACCCTCTGCAACCCCTCTAACCATCAGGGTCCCCCTCCCTGGGTGCAGGAGCTGGTGAGAACCCTCTGCATCGCTCGCAGGGAACAGCTGATGCACAAACCTGGCCAAAATCAAACATTCCCAGTGAATGATGAGAATATTGCAGAGGCCAGGGAGAGCCGAGCTGCCAGACTGGCCCGGCCCCAAGCCCCGGCCTGAACCGCCGTGAACTTCTGGGAAAATAGAGTCTGGAGCTCAAGATGGAGCTTGTGATTTTGCCCAAGAACTATCACGCTTCAGAGCATCTAAGTGCGCCCCATGCAGCTGGGGCAATGCAGGGAAGGCTCAGCTTTGTCACCAGCCATAGGATCCCTGGGTGAGGGCTGCAGGAGAGGTCTGTCACCCCTGGGGACATCCCCCCTGCCCCGACCCTGGAGCATCCACTTTTCCGAGCCAGCATCTCCAGGGTGAAACATTTCCAGCATCACCAGACACGTATTTCTAGATGGCTGTTGAGCAGCAACGCTGAGCTCGGGTTGTCCCTGTCCCTGGGAAAGGGTTAGCTGGAGAGATAGGATGAGTGCACACCAAGTACGCTAGATTGCAAGGATTTTCCTTCATAAAATAACTGCGCGTGCCTAGAGCTCTGCCTTACCTTGCTCTCTGATGCTGCCTCTCCACAAGCAGGAGCCCTGTCCTCAACGATGCTTTCTGTTTGCCTCAGGACACAGCTGACTATGTGAAGCCGGTGGCGTTCTCCGTCGACTACGAGCTGGAGCACCCCGAGAACGGCCCCATGCTGGATGACGGCTGGCCCACCTCGCTCAAGGTCTCGGTAAGTAGCAGCACCGTCCTCCCAGGGTGTTTTTTATCAGGCTCTTGCTCCACAGATTTATCTCTGGATGTACCATTTGCTCCTTTATCCCAGGGACGTAATCCCCGATCCCTCCCGTGGTAGCGATGCGTGGGGGGGGGGGGGTTGCTGCGTCCTGGGATCGCCGCCCGTGTCCCTTCTCCTCGGAGTACAACCCCCGGGCACAAAATCATCACCAAACTGCTCTTGTTGTCCCCCTCAGGTCCCTTTCTGGAACGGGTGCAATGAGGATGAGCACTGCGTCCCTGATCTGGTCCTGGATGCCCGAAGCGATGTGCCCAGTGCCATGTGAGTAGGTTGCTCAGAACATCCTCCCAACCAGTATCACAAACTGGGGGGGTGTGGGGGGGTGGTGGAGGGCTCTGAAACCCAGCCCCAACTCCTTCTCCGTAGATTCTGGCATCGCTACTGGCCCTTCATCCACCACCACCACGAGGTGCTCCTCAGCACCTCCGCTCGCAGCGGGGCTCTGAGCCTCTGCCTGCTCCCTGCCTGGAATAAATCAGTGTTTTGTCAGGGAATCCACAAAACAACTAATATTTGATACCAAGGTGATGAGCCCCGGGGAGACAAATCAGTCAATAACAAGGGGGAATAAATGCAAGGCTGGCATTAACCACTTGGCAATTACAGGCTTGACTCATGCAGCAGAAATAATTATAGGCTACGTTTCATGGCTTTAAGAGCTTTTAAAGGTTATCTAGGAGCACAGGAGCCTGAATCTCCATCTCCTGTCGATGGGAGTGGGCTCTGCACCAAGCTCATGGCCAGCACTGCTACCTGGGGACTACTTGCATCCCGTAATTCAGCATTTATTGCTCTGTGTCTCCTGTAAAGCTCCTGGTCCTGAGACTGTGACCCAGGGCTCAACCAGGAGGGGGGTCCGGGGCCCCCAGCAACCCTGGCTGGGCTGTGGGAGGTTAAAGTGAGCTGTAGGTAGGGATTATATATGGATCATAGCGGCTGGAGTCCTGCAAATAACCATGGGCAGATCCTGTGGTCTACCAGGGTGCCAGACCTCTAATCTGGTCCCTCCTGAAGCCTGTGGAGCTTTCCCAACAGCATCAGTGGGGACTGGATGGTGCCCTAGGAAAGCAGCCGATATGGAGGTGATTTCTGCCAAGAACACCACTTTTGAGGTGATTTGTTGGAATTGAGCTATTCCTTTGAACTGGCCAGCCATTAGAAGCTGAAGGTGGCTCTGAAGGTGGCACCATCCTATATTTTCTTTTCCTTTTTTATTTTTCATAAAGAAAATAAATTCCAAAATGCCTGTCAAGCTTGCAAAAGCAAATGCCGCTGCCGCTACAGTCTGGGTTGGTAAACTTGCTGGGAGAGAGATCTCAGCCAGGCTGGAACTAAACGCCAGCTTTACCCTTTGCTAATGGCACGGGAGCTATTTTTTCCCTTAGACCCCAGCTGTACTAAGAGCTCCTGGCTGGGTTGGAGAAAGCCAGGCACCGTCAGCCAAAAATCACAAGGGCAGTGACGATCCGCGGGAGGAATTTGTGCTTCCTCTTTCCGTAGGGGCTCAGCACGACGGAGGGAGAGCAGGGATTGCCTCCTGCCATCCTACGCTAAAAAAATTTCCCGGGGCTGGGTCTTGGCGCGGCGCTGCCGGCGGCCCTCGCCCGCACCGCTGCCCTCCTCTTGCAGGGAGTACTGCCGGCGGGCTCTGCGGAGGGCCCCGCCGGACTGCACGGCCTTCAGCCTCTCCTTCGACACCTCCGTCTTCATCATCGAGAGCAGCAGGAGGAGGGTGGCCGTGGAGGCGGCGCTGGAGAACCGAGGCGAAAACGCCTACAGCACGGTCCTCAACATCTCCTTCTCCAGGAACCTCCAGTTCGCCAGCTTGATCCCCAAGGTGAGGCCGCTGGGGGAGATCCGGGGATTTCCAAAGGTGCTTCTAATCGCAGCCGGATGAGAAAACTGTGCCCTAAACCAGAGCCCAAAAACGTCTCCATCCCTCATAAATCAACCATGGGTTTGGGCTTAGTTTCTAAGCACTTACAGCCCTCGCGGCTCTTTATTTTGGAAATACAAAAGCTTTTGAATTTTAAGAGCCTGAAAGAAGGTCAAAAGCAGATGAAATTATTCCCCTCTTTATTTTTCTACTCCAATAGTTTAAAAATACTCGCTGCACACGGCCAAGTTCCCGTCAGGGATGAAGTTTTGCAGCTGAGATATGACTCCTGGAAGTACGGGCTGATAACGGGAACGTGGCCCCAGCTCAGCATCGAGCTGGGCGATGCCACTTTTCTACAGCTGTCCCCTGGACGAGCCCGTCATGTCCCATCCACTCCCACCCTCCCCAATATTCCATGCCCCCCCACCGCTCGCTCAATCTCGGTGCAAATCCTCCCTTTTCCCAGCGAGGTTTGGGAAAATCTGCTGATGCTGCTGAGCCCTCCCTCATCCCCCCCCCCAATGACTTCATACCCGCCCGCAGACCTCATGTCCTGCGTTTGTTTTTCTACAAGCCGTGCCAAGGGAAAATTGTGGGGCACGTTGCCCACAAAATGAGAAAAATGCATTTTCTGAGAGGTTACTCCAAATTAATTGAGGGGGGGGGGGGAGAAACCCTACGGTGCTCCGTAACAGAAAGCACCGTGCAGGAGTGGTTGCAGGAAATATTTGTAGCTGGTCATAGGAGCATCACAGTTAATGGGTTCCTGGCTGCCAGTCCTTACAAATAAACAAATTGCCAACTGGAGGGGATGGATGTTTGTGTCGGAGGCTGTACAGAGACCCAAATAAAGAATAGCTGTGGCCCCAGAAAGTCTATAATCTCAGCAGATTAGAGTGAGGAAGCTCCAGGCTGCTGCTGACGGCTGTTAAGGCATTTTCCCTCCAGCTGGTGCTGGGCTGTTTCAGCTCCTGGGTCGAGCTCGTCCAGTGGCAGCAGCTCGGAAAAAGACCCTTGTGGGGTCTAACGCAGGGCCGAAAGCTGGAATATCTCATCACCTCATGGTGGGGATGGACACTTGCAAACAACCAGGCTACAACCTCTAGTAGGGTTGCTGCAGCTTGGCAGCGGAGGAGGCAGAGCAGGGTCAGTGTCCCATCCCGCCGCAGCCTGCGCTCGGGCTTTGCGATGGGCAGGAGCTTCTCCAGCCTGGCTGGTGAGCTGGAAGGTGTTCAAGCAGCAGAAATGAAATTGTTGAGACAAGGAAATTAAATATTACTGTTTAGCTGGCGGCCATGCAGAATAACAGCTCCTGTTATCTCTTGATGCTTCCCTGTGACTCCTCATCACAGAAAAATATTCTTCTTCCCAATTATAGTGCCAAGAATAATTGAGTTCGTTCATTCACTGTTGTAGTTAAATTTATAAAAAGGGTTTATATCAGCAAGCTGAAGTTTCTTGCTAGAAATGGCCCTCTCCAGGAATGGTCCTGGAAATTCGGCTGCATGGGAAGGATTCCCAGCCTGCGGCAAGCAGGGTTGGTTGGTTGGTTTGGTTGTTTTTTTCCGAATGTTAAAGCCTGTTTTAAGCTTCGTGGGCACGTTTGCTGCTTTCATAAAGAGCCAGGACATGGGGCTCTTGCCCGGTGTCATGGACAATTTGCATCCCGTTTTAGGATGACACAGACATCAACATTGACTGCATGACTGAAGACAAACACCCCAACAAGAAAGTATGCAACGTGAGCTACCCGTTCTTCCGAGCCAAGGCCAAGGTAAAGCTATTCCCTCCTGCCCAAGCGAGGCTTCACCCATGGGACAGGAGCCCCCTGCCCCCGGCATGGCCGCGGGGCCGCATCCGTCTGTCTTCGGGCTGGGCGCTTTGAACAGGATTTTTAAAGATAAACATTTGGTTTCTTCCCTTTTTTCTGTCCGTCGCTGGTGTTTGAAAGGTGCGTTTGGGCAGCTGGGATGGTTAGGGAGCTGCCTTGATGCTAGGAGAGCACCAAAACCAAACCCAACTCCTCCAAGTCGAAGAATTTGACTCCAGTCCTTCGGAGCTTATTTAATGTTGGCTTCAAACCACTGATGGTAACTTCCCCGAGCTCCTTTCTCGCAGGATGAGGCACCCTTCCCTGCCTGAGAGGTTTTCCTTGCTCTCAACACCCAGGGTCCCTCCGGACCCTCCTCCAAACCTGCCCAAGCCCTCTCGGGCTGGTAGCATCCTCCAAACCGCAGCTCACAGCGCTTCCCAGCACTTGGGGCGAGCCCAGATCCAGGTAGCATCATTTTTTAGATGCCGTAAACCCCTTTGCAAATGTGAGACGCAGCACGAAGGTGGGGAAGGAAAAAAGGAGGAGCTGCCGAGGAACAGTCACCAGGGCTCCGTGTGAAATTCCACCTGCCCATCCTGCATCCCCCCCCCGTGGGAAAAGGGGCCAATACAAGCGAGATCGAATGATAAAATCTTTCCAGCACCCCATATCTGTCTGAAGCCTTTCTTTGTCAGGAGCTTGATAATGATGGATGAGCTCCAGGCACCTCGCTAGGCTTTAAAGCTCCCAAAAAAGCCCTCTCGGATGCCTGTGGCTGTACAAAGAGTGCAGCAGCCCGACTCCCCGTGACCTACGGGGGCTGAGAATGCATCTGCGTGGCACCAGGTAGTCCAGGTCCTGCCAAAACAAAGACAAGCTGGAAATGGAAATTTGGCCCAAGAGCAGCGGAGGCTTTAATATTATACTCAGCTGTGCAGTCCCAGACAGTTTGAGGTCATTGCCACAGCTCTCGCAGATGTGACATTTATCACATTTTATTGTTGTTGGCCTCTCTCCGGCTGCCTTCCCCCGCCAGCCGACCCCGTGCCGCAGATGGGAGCGAGCGGCCTCTCGCTGCAGGTCCCCTGGAGGGTTTCTCTTCCAAAGGAGGGAGCAGGGGAGCCGTTTGCCTCTCCAATCTCAAAGCAAAAAAAAAAAAAAAAAAAAAAAAAAAAAAAATGCAGCATGCGGGGCTGAGAGCAAATCCTGCAAATCCCTGGCCAGCACTTGAGGGTTTGGTTTTTTTTTTTTTTTCCACCCTAATATTTTCTCCAATCTGTTTCCAACCTCCACAGGTAGCTTTTCGCCTGGATTTTGAATTCAGCAAGTCAATTTTCCTTCAAAGCATGGAGATCTACCTAGTCGCCAACAGGTTAATGGCTGTTTATCTCCTTTCCCTGTGTTTGCGAGATCAACAGGTGATGCTGGAGCCTTTACTCGGGGAATAACCACAAGGAAACCCGATTGCCATGGGTTACTATAGAGTGGGCAGCCCTGTATTCACAAACCAGGCTATTTTTATTTATCTATATGTTCATATCCATCATTTCCCTGTACACGTGGAAGCTGTGCAGTTGAAGAAGGGTCTCCAGCCACTGCTGTTTTCTTACCCACCTTCACAACTGCAAACACTCCCGGGAAAAAATCCTAACAGCTTCGCAAAATTCTTCTCACCTACTTGCCCCGCACAGGTAAAATTTTCTGACAGCCAAGTGAAATCTCACTAGGGTGGTGAGTTTTTTTTATTTTTCATCAATTATTAGAGCAGATGAGGATTTGTTCTGCCGGGGCTGCTGCACTGCTTTAAGGCTGCTGGGTGTGAAAACTCTCTCCAAATGATCTACTTCTATGGCCTCGGGTGAAAAAAAGTTACAGAATAAAATTACTTCGCTTTACACTTTGGCCAAAAAGCAGATCAGCCCTTTTCCACTTGCTTCCTATGACCCACCCACTCCCCCCCCAAAAAAAAAAATCAGAGGGGAGCCAGCTCCCGCCTCACCCCCCCGCTTGTCTCGTTGCTGTTTCAGTGACAGCGAGGAGAAGGAGAGCACCAAGGAGGACAACTTTGCCCACCTGAATTTTCACCTGAAGTACGAAGCCGACCTGCTCTTCACCAGGTGAGTGTTTTGGAAGGGGACGCAGCTTCTGGGGGGACACGGCTCGCAGGGTGCCTTTCGGGGAAAACCAGGGCTGGTCCCATGGGAGCTGCGTTCAAACAGAGCCCAGCACAAATTGAGCTTCAACTTGGGGAATTTGCTTAGAAAAGGGGCTGAGGGAACTGTAAAATCAGGGGCATCCCATATAGCGGGTCCTCATAAAAATCAACAGCAAGGAGCAACGAGGTGCTGGGCTTTCATAAAGTTTAAATGCACAAGCGTTATTAAATAGGTGTGAGGGAAATTTGGGGTTTTTTAAGAGGAAAAGTACTTATTGTAGGTAATAATGTTCATAACATGTGTTACTAGCCAGTGTCTGGGCCGGTAGCCATCCCACTAAAAATCATCTCACCAGAAGCTCAGCTGAGGGATGTGTGTGGAAGGGTTTGGGCATCAACGATAACTAAAGCAGAGAACGTCCTCGGTCCAAGGAGAGCGGGGAGCTAAGACACAGACGATAATTTATTAACCTGATTTTAAGAAAAAAATGTGGACCCCAGAAGCACATTCCCTGGCTTTGCTTGCTGTAATTCTTGGTAGATTTTTAAGACCTTCAGTCACTTTACTTTTTTTACACCAGAGGCAGTGGGGCACTGAAAATAAAACCACTTTAATACTTAAAATTTATGGGGAGCCGGGGGCTCTCAATTTAACAAATGACAGAATTGCCCTTATGGGAGAAGGGAGAACTTGGAGAAAAAGTAACAGCACAAAAAATTCAAATTTGGGCACCTTGGGGAGAAAAAAAAAAAAAAGAGGAAATAATTTCAAAGAGGATGGAGGGTTTTGGGCCATGCATGTCATGTTGTGACAGCGGTGAGCGTGCGTCCCATCGCAGATGATCCTGGCCGGGCTCCCACGGGCACCCATCAGATGCTGCTAGCTCCTTCCCCTCCTCTCCAGCTGCCAGACAGAGATGTGATTTCCCTCCTCTGACTTACACGTGACATTCAAACCTCCGACCAGGGCCTTAGATGTCTCTGTTATATTTAAAAAGCGAGAAAAATTCTACAAAGAAAGGGAAAATACAGCAGAAGCAGAATAGTGTGAAAATCCTCTGATTTTTTTTTATTTTTTTTTTTTTTAAATTTTTTTTTTTGCACGAGGTGGAGCCAGACGATGGTTTCCATCCGAAATGGGGCCAGACAGATCGAAAGTCCCCCCCTGCGGGGAATCTGCCCGCGGAGGGGCTGGGGGCAGCTGGGCACCGAGCTGCTTCATGCTCGGTTTGCCCCGAGCCCACCTCGCGACTTGTCCTCCTTCGTCACGACAGGGCGTCGAGCCTGGACTACTACGAAATCAGATCGAACAGCTCCCTGGAGAGATACGACCGCATCGGCCCCCCCTTTCATTGCACCTTCAAGGTAAGGAGGGGGGGTTAAATTGGCTGAGGGACCCCCCCCCAAGCCCCATCCTGGAGGTGGGATGTGCCGTGGTCACCCTGCTGGTCCCCATCCCGCGGGACGCTGGTACCCCAGGCGCATCCCTGGCTTCTGCCCTCGCAGCTGCAGAACCTGGGCTTCTTCCCCGTGGAGGGGGTGACCATCAAGCTCACCGTCCCCGTGGCCACCCGGGCGGGCAACCGCCTCCTGCTCCTGACCGAATTCGTGGTGGACCAGGTAGGAAGGGGGTTTCATCCCCATTAAGACCATGCGGGTCCCCTTCTGTACCAGGGGTGGGGATGGAGCCACCCAACGGCGGGTCACCCCCCCCCCCCCCAGCCTTTTGCAAGCCCACGCCACGCTCACACCTGCATGGACAGCCCTGGCTCCTGCCCGGCTTTCTCCCTTCTGCTTGGCTGGAAACATGGAAAATGGTAGCGGCCAAAGGGTTTAGTCCAAATATTTCCCCGAGCTAGACCTCCCTCCAGTATGCAATTAATTCTTGAGGGTCTTGAAAGCCTTAGCTGTGCCTGGAGCGAACTGGAGGCGTGAGTGACCGTTAAAATGGTGAGAGGGCTGGGAGCAGACCCCGGGGCATCCCCAGCCTCCCAGTGCCCCCACAGCCGTGCGGGACTCCCGTGGGAAGATTTATGGATGGATTTGGCCTCGCCGGGGGCGTTTTGTAGAGCAGCTCTGGCAAAGTCCCCTTGTCACCCAGCACACGTGGCTGGTGTCCTGGACAGGGCTCGCTGCCAGGGTGATTTTTGCTGGGGAGAGGCTCAGCCACCGGTAAATCCCAAGGCGGGTGCCAGGGTCCCCTGAGCACCCCAGGATGGGTGCTGAGCACGGGGCAGGATGCGGGGAGGTGGCCACCGTGGTCCCCATCCCCGTGCTCGGAGCTCATCGCCTCCTCCCGCAGGAGAACGCGACCTGCAATATCTGGGGAAACACCACGGACTACCAGAGGACACCCGCCGAGGAGGACCTCTCCCGCACCCCCCACCTGGTACGCACCTTTGCGGGCCTGATCCTGGCCCCACACAGCCACCAAACCAGAGAGAAACCCCCGGGATGGAGGGACCCCACGGGGGAGGGTGGGTGCATGGATCCCGCTCCCCTCGGGCCGTGCCTGGGGAGAACCCCAGGAGGTTTTTAGCCCTTTCTCAGCCGCGACGTTCCCACACCACAAACCTCTCCCCTCGCAGAACCACAGCAACTCCGACATCGTTTCCATCGACTGCAATGTGAAATTAGCCCCCAACGAGGAGATGAATTTGCGCTTGCGTGGCAATCTGTGGATGAAGTCTCTGAAAGCAGTAAGTTCTCCCAAAGCAGGCACGTAGCTTTTGAGGAAAAATCCCCCAAAGGAGCCCTCACACCACAAAAACATGGGGTTTGGGTTTTTCTTTTTTTCCCCTCTCCGGCGATTGCCCTCCCTCCCAGCAAGCCCAGGCACGTGTGAGGTGATTTTTTTTTTTGTTTGTTTTTGTTTTCAAAGCCCACTTATTCTGTTAGTGTGTGCAGCCAACGTCCTGCACAGCACCTCGTTGTGGGGAATTTAATCCCAAGCAGCTCTTTTTGCTGCAATTTAACCACACTCCCTACTTGACCTGCATTGTCCTCCCTCTCGGATGCAGCACACAACAGCCCTGGCATGGATGTGAAGCTGGGGGTGAGGAACGAGAGCTGTGAGGGGGGGGGACGTGTTCCTCTCCCACAGCCAGTGCTCACGTCCAGCGTCTCTTTGCGCAGCTGAAGTTCAAGTCACTGAAGCTCACCATGAACGCTGCTCTCCAGCGACACTTCGGGAGCCCCTTTGTCTTCCGTGAGGAGGACCCCAGCCGTCAGGTGAGGCCCCCCCCCCCCCCCGCCCTGGGGAGGACAGTCACACACAGACACGGCAGCTTTGGGGATGCTGCATAAAACCCCGCTCTGACCCCAGCGGGAAAAACCCTGTGGCTGGCAGATAGGGCTGGAGTCGTTCTGCAGAGCCCCGAGCAACTCGGTGCAGTTGTGACCCGAGCCAGGCAGCTCCGGTCCCAGCACCGCCAGATTCAGCAGGGGAAAAGCTGAGCCAAATCGCTGGTGTGTGGGGTGGGCATCATCCCCCCCCACCCCACCCCCAGCAGCTCCAGCATCCTCCCCAAGGAGGGGATGCTCAGCACCCCCCCACCATCACACCGGTTCCCCGCTTGGCTCTTCCACCCAGCACCAGCGGCGTCTTTTGATGCTCTGTCCTTGCAGATAACGTTTGAAATCTCCAAGCCGGAGGAGTCGCAGATCCCCATCTGGATCATCCTGGGGAGCACGTTAGGAGGGCTCCTGCTCCTGGCCCTGCTCGTCCTCGCGCTCTGGAAGGTGAGCAGCCCCTGAGCCACACGCATTGCGGGACCCCCAGCTCCCCCCAGCTCCATGCCCACAGCCCCACGAGCCCCTCGGCACCGCCAGACAGCACAAAAAGCTCCTCTAACCTCTTTCCGCTTCCCGATTATTTCTGTTCAGAGCCAAAAACCTCCTGGCAGTACCCCCGTTAAAAGGAAGGCGCTTCCCAGCAAGCAGCTGAAGTAATGGTGGGGTTTTCTTTCTCTTTAAACCCTACAGCTTGGATTTTTTAAAAGCGGGAGCCGCAGGCGAGCGGCGGAGCGGGAGCGGAGCGCCCAGGGGCTGGAGTGATGCTGCCGGGGGGCGCCGGGTGTCCCCCCCCACCCCCCTGCACCCCCTTCCCAGCCCCTCGCCGGTTACGGAGCAGAGGTTCACCTCGATGCTGAGGGATCAGGGTGCTCAACTTGGGTTTGCATCGAGATGAGAGTCCACCCCCACCCCCCGTGTGTGAAGTCACCTAAACAGGTCCAAAAGTCAAAAAAAAAAAAACAAAAAAAAACCAAACAAGCAAACCAAACAAACAAAAAAAAAAAAAAAAAAAACAAAAAACCAAAAACGCCATCCTACACATAGCAAAAATCCCCAACCCTTACTGGTGGCCTCGTGCCACGGTGAGGGGCTTCCAACTGGGGTTGCAAGGAGGTGGCAGCGGCGTGGGGACAGAGGGGCCACCGAGGCAACGGGCCCCGTAACTTGGGGCAAACTATGGGGCTGCAAAAAAAAAAAAAAAAAAAATCTGTAAAAAATAATATTCTTAAAAAAAAAAAAAATAATATGAGGATTGCTCATTCCCGTGGCTGAGCTGTAGCAAACCCCTGGGCTTTGCTGGTCACAGCTCTCAAACTGCGTTGCATTCGTTAACCGGAGCAATTGGGTGGAGATTTTAATTTGTCTTCTTCTTGATGCACTGAATACAAATGATAGCAAATTAAAGCACCTTAATGCAAATCTCCAGTGTCCAGCTGTACATACTTATTCTAAAAATACTTACCTGTTTAAGCAAAGGAGAGAAAAAAAAAAAAAATTCAAAAATTTAAAAAACAGCTATGAACCAGTTTGAAGTGTTTTCTACAAACTGAGCAGTGTCAAAGAGCTTGTGTCCAGCAAGGGGCCACACGTGTATTATAATTGTACATACTTGGTGTCACGCGAAACCGGATGATCGGTGCTGTTTGACAAAAATCTTTCTTTTTGCATAACAGAATTATTTATGCTAATATTAATTTTATGGATGGAAAGAAAGCATATGTCCGCCGGATGTGTAATGAAGTTTGTTAAATACTGTCTTAGTATTTTTTAAGGATTAAAACCACAGTATTTTAAAAATGACCAGCCTCTCCTCCCCGTCTGTGCTCGCCCACTTCCACGGCTCGGCTGAGAGCTGCTCACACCCCTCGGGGACACAGCGGAGGAGGATGGGGCTCGGATTTTTTTTCCTCCACCTTTTGATGATGGGATGCAAGTTTTTTGCAGCCCGGTTTTACATGGATGCTGTCAAGTGGGGGGGGGAGGGGGGGGGGCAGGGGGGTGTGCAGCCTTTGCAAACCTTGAGGAAGGTGTGCTGCAGAATCAGCCCCACTCATTGTATAAAATGGGGGGAATAAAAAAAAAAAAAAAAAAAAAAATCTGATTTTCACTGCTAGCATCCTCACCTCGGATGGGCGTTGGTAATGGCAGAATTTCTGACTGATTCGGGTCTTGGCTGTCCCTGAGGGCCCGGCTGGGGTGCGGGGGCACCCCGGGGAGCTGAAATCCCCGTGCAGGTAGGAAGGTGGGTGCGGGGGGCTCCATGGGCCCGGGGCGAGGCCAGCGCTCCCCCGGCCCCAAAGAGCCCAAAGGGCGCAGATTGATTTCTTTTTCTTCTTCATGCTCAGCCAATTTTCCTTCCCGCCGGTGAACTCGCGTAGGCAGGCTGTGCAAGGGCTACTGCCGGCATCTGGCCAACCTTTTATTGCTTGGGGGGGGGGGGGGGCGGAAAAAAAAAATAACTAATTTCTTTTCAAGCATTTGCCCCAAAGCATCTCAGCCCTTGGTGCTATAAAAAGAGCGGCCGCTTGTCCCCTCCCTGCCTGGGGTTCAGCTCCCAGCAAGGGCTGGAGCCTTCAGCAGGGCCCCCCAAGGACAGGGGGGCTGGGGGGGGGACCCTCCTGCTGCCAGCCCGCTCCAGAGCCACGTGTAAGTGCACACACATGGGTGTGGGTATATTTTTTATATACGCTCTATTCATATATCCATACATATGTCTGTGTGTGTATATACAGCCTCCAAGCGTGCGAAACCATGCTCATGGGCAAACTGGTGCACCAGTGGTGGGGGGGGGAAGGGGGTACATGTTTACATACATGTGTGTGCAAACGTGTAGCTCTATGTACATGCACATGTATATCTCTATGCACACCTGTACGGGTGTGGTATCCGTATGGAAGTGTGTGTGTGAGAGCGAGCAAGCGCCTCCAGCTCTGGGGACACTGTGCGCTGGCTAGGAGCTGTGTGTCTGTATGTGTGTCTGTGTGTCTCTGTGTGTGTATCTGGGTGTCTGTGTGTGTGTGTCTGTGTCTGCGTGTGTATGTCTGTAAGTGTGTCTCTGTCTCTCTGTCTCTGTGTGTGTTTGTATGTATCTGTGTGTCTGTGTGTGTCTGCGTCTGTCTGTGCGTCTGTATGCCTGATTCTGTCTGTGTGTGTGTCTGCATGTCTGTGTGTCTCTGTCTCCGTATGTCTGTCTGTGTGTCTGTGTGTCTCTCTGTGTGTCTGTATGTCTGTGTCTGTGTCTCTGTGTGTCTCTCCGTGTCTCTGTGTGTTTGTATGTGTCTCTGTGTGTCTCTGTGTGTGTCTGATTCTATGTGTCTGTGTGTCTCTGTATCAGTCTGTGTGTGTGTCTGTATGTGTGTGTGTCTGTGTGTCTGTGTCTCTGTGTGTGTCTGTCTGTGTATGCGTGTCTGTATGCCTGTGTGTCTGATTCTGTGTGTGTCTGTCTGTGTCTGTGTGTCTCTGTGTGTCTATGTATGTCTGTGTGTCTGTATGTGTGTGTGTCTGTGTGTCTCTGTGTCTGTCTGTGTGTCTGTCTTTGTGTCTGTGTGTGTGTGTCTGTATGTGTGTACATCTGTGTGTCTCTGTGTCTGTCTGTGTGTGTACGTCTGTGTGTCTGTGTGTGTATCTGTACATACATTTTTATTTTTTAATACACCTCTCCCACCCAGCAGTGGCCAGGGCCCGGCACAGCGGCCGTCACCCAGCCCCGGCCGAGCCATGGGGCTGTACCTCGCCATAGACAGCCAGCTGGTCCCTGTGGGAAGGAAAACTGCATTTTTATGGCCACTCAGTCAAAAACTTGCTAGGAACAAAATTCCCATTCCCCACCGCGGGCTGCTCCTGACTGACACCCGCCATCAAAGCATCAGCACTTCCCTTCCCTGGATTTGGGTTAAAACGTAAAAAAGAGGGTTTGCAGCTACTGAGTTACTTGGTTAAAGCTACTTACACCAACAGCTTTTATCAATTTAGCTCAAAACAGCCCAAGGGAAGCAGTCGAGCGGCTCCACATGGGTACTCGGGTTCACAAACCCATGGCTCATGCCAGGGAAAGCCTCAGTAAAACGAGCTCTCCTAACCTGCTCTGCCTGACCCCATCGACGAGAAGTGGCTCTCGCCCTTATCAGATAAAATCATAAATTAATTCTGCGCCTTGACCTGTACTGAAGAGGCCTGATCCTGCAAACCCTGCTGTGGGCATCGTGGGGCTCGAGGCGCTGGTGTGCAATCCCTGCCTAACACAAAACTTGACTCCTGCCACTTGAAAACAAAATATTTTTTATATATAATATTATATATATAATAGAGATATATAATAAAATAAAAGTGACTTGTTTTCAAACGAGTTTCCTTTACTCAGCCAAGCGCTCTGCCCTGCTTGCTGATGCTCTGGGGTAGAGCTGAGCAGCGTTTGCCTCCGCGGCAATGCAGAAGCTTATGGAGTAAGTGAAAAAAAAAAAAAAACAAACCCTCGTGCCAGGCCCACGCAGGGCTCTCACCACCACCACAGGACCAGGGTTGAAGCGCAAGACCCAAAGACGAGCACGTGAAATGCCAGCGGCAGCTCCCTCCGTCTGCAGCGGCACCGCCTTTCCGTGGGGGGCTCGCGTCCCGGGGGCCCCAGGCTCCAGGTTTGCCAAGGGTTTGCATCCCCCCCAACCCCTCCCCTGGCCTGGGGAAGGTGTATTTTTAAACGCCAGCCTGCTCCCCAGCAGCAGCTCCCGGCGCTGAGCCAGCTCTATAAATAACAGCCCGTCACCTACGGCACCCGCGCGCCTCGTCCCTGGCGGGGGGGGGGGGGGGGGGGAGACACACACACGTCACCCCGCTCTTTTCCCGGCGAAAGGAGCACCTGGGGGGGGGGGTTGTAGAGAATTTTATCGGGAGCAAGCACCCCCCTTTCAGCTTTTAATGCCTGAAAAAGACATTTCCAGACTAAGGAGCAGGAAGGTCCCGGGATGCTGAGAGCCGTGACGGATTTCGCTGCATCTGCGGGCGTGCAGAAACAGGCACCCACTGTTTTTTGGTGGTTTTTTTTTTTTTTTTTTATCCTTTGGCCAAGAGTTTTTACTGCCCCAGCGAAGGCGGCAGAACAGCACGTCCATGACGCCACCTTCTCGGGCTGCAGACAAGCAGGAACCCGTCGTCTTCCTTCAGGAACGGGGCCAAGGACCAGGGACCACACCTGAGACAGGAGCGGCTTCGGCATCAGCTGCTCTGCAATCGACTGACAAGAAGCTTTGTTGCTGCTTCTGGGTAACAGCATCCTCTCTCTTCAGGTCTTCACATATTGAAATCATCCCAGGAACGGCACGAACAAAGCAGAACCTCAGCAAATATCCTGCAACGGAGCCAGAAGTGGGAGAGGATCAGAACAAAGCTACAGGAAGGGAGGAAGCAGCAGCTTTTCCACAAGATCATTTGGCATAACAATTTTTTTCCTTATTAAACAAGAAGGACTGTGGGAGGAGCAGCTTCCTTCACCTTCTTATTACCTACAGATATTTCAAGCATGCACGTTTGTTCTAAAAACAGCTTTATACAGGTATTTCACAAGAATACAACACTTAGATTACTCCATGTCAGAAACAGGTCCTGAGGAAAAAAAAGACAAAACAAAAACAAAACAAAACAAAAAAAAAACACAACAACAAACAGTGCAAGGAAATATTGTCTTAATTGATGATACAGCAACTCAAAATGATTGCCAATCCAGAAGGCTTTGTCATACAGCGAGCAGCCCGAGTTGCTGCAGGCCTTGAGCCCTCTCCCCCTTTTTCCCCCCCAACTCTCCCAAGTCAGAGACTCAAGGGCCACCTACTCTCATTTTTAACTGCATGCACATCACAAATTATAAATGTGCAAGCGTGAAAAGGAACAGCAAGGCATCAGAGCTGTTTGAGGCACGTGGCACAGCGCAACAAAAGCCTTTTTTTTTTTTCCTGTAACACACACACCAATTCGCCTACCAATTAATTTGAACTGAGTCACCTACCAGCAGCTTTACCAGCTAAATAATAATCACCTGGTGCATGGTCTCAAGTTGCTCGAGTTTCAGGTTCAAAGCTTTAGCAGTAACGGATACAAGCCCCAAATGGGAGACTCGTCCCATCCTCTGGTTCTCACAATTAGCAACAGCCACTTAAATTTTTTTTTTTTTTTTTGCATTTCCAACAGCTGTAAATCACCACTGCAAATTCTTAGCAAAATACAAAACCGCAGCTTTACCTGATGACTTCAGCTGAATACTGAATACATCTCAGCACACAGGGGGAAGACATTTAGGGTAACAATTCACAGAAACGCTACGACACGCCCCCCCCCCCCAACCATTTGATAACATCCACTTGTTGCATTAAGGCCCCAGCTGGCTGAATTTGGCTTTGACATTCTGCCTGAAGTTTGACTGCAGGAGTCACGGTTTTTAAGTGCAGTAATCCAGCCCGAGATACAAGTGACAGACAGAGTTTTCATTTTAGGAGCTAGTTTCCAGCAGGGTCAAGTTTGCAGCTTAGCAAACACGGTATTTCTAAAGCTTTTCCCTCGAAGAAGACACAACAGCCAGTGCTTACGGTACCACACAATCTAAGCCATGCTATTCTGCTTGGCACTAGACAAAAATTAAGAGTTACAAACTAATTCCACATTCAATGTTTATTTATTTGTAATACAAATAGAAACGTGTGCCCAAATCTCGCCTTGAAGTTCTACCCAGATTGTTTAAAAAAAACCTACAGAACATTCTTTCATCATCTGACCGTTAAAAAGCTGCATTTAAAATAAACAGAGTTTTCAGTAGG